TAAAGTAGAGTAAAATATAATTTTTTTAAATTTTTTATTTCTTAGAGGATGAGTCATTTACTTCTAAGAAGATGCCCAATATAAATACGAGTATATTCTTGGATCTAATGTAGTAATATGCGTGATATTGTTTGTGTTAATTAGAAATATTTATCTTTAGATAAAATTGCAATTCAGTACCAGTTGAAAAATTTCATGTTGTTTGTTTTTTAATTCCATTATTATTATTATATTGTGTGATGCCAATAATCTATCTTATGCCCATCTTTTAAATTTAATTTTGTATACTACATAAAAAATATATTATTAAAAGATTAGCAATATTAGTATTTTAATAATTAGCAATTTTAATAAATAGCATTTTTATTTTAATAAAATAAATAAAAAATATTGTGTTTTTAATAATTTTGGTACTAGAAAGAAAATTCTACTCACGAGATAGTAGAGAATCATAAAATTGTGTTTAATATTGTCCCATAAAGTAATTAATTTACCATTGAAGATAAATATGTTTTCAATATACAATGCAATATTTTACAATTAGACACTTTACCCAAAACTCAATAATTCTGCATTATATTTATTAGTAACCTCATAATCGGGCAGCCAAATTATGATAACGAATTTGAAGGTTAAAACTTAAAGAAATCTTATAAGTCTCGCTGATAAAAAATATATATCGTTGAATCAGAAAACTCGTGTTTAAATAGTACAGGAATGATAATCTATAATGTGATATTAGAAATAGATAAAATGATTATTCACTTTACTATATCATTTATATTGCCACCACTCGAGAATTGATTTTATCTCAACTAACACGTGAAAATTGACATTAGATAGGAAAACTGCATTTGCATTAATTAAGCATATCAATTTGCTTCCACTTTCGTTTGGAAGTTAAAATAATGAAGAATTTAGCGAAATACGATATTTTAGCTTTGTTTTTCTTTAAACTATAATCAAATATAAATGACTGCTTGATTGTATAATACTTTCTTGATTGTATTGAAATATTGAATAAAACAAAAATATTTCTTATGGAAAGTGGTGAATGTATCGGTATAATGAGTCTCTACTACTTACACATAATACCTATATACGCATATATATTAATTCGAATATAGAGTTTATATTCTATTTCAATAATTATGTCTTCAGAACCGAATTTGTTTTACCAGGATAATTATATTAAACTTATTTTTATGTGTTTGTTTAATATGATCTTTTCACTTTTTTGTGCTATTATTAAAATATTGTCCTGAAATATTTTATTTTAGAACAGATTTTAGTAACCCTGAAACTCAATATCATGTGCAAAAATTTATGATTTAGTAGGGCGGGGGCACAAAGGTTCAATTTGAGTTTCAGTAATTATACTATATAAACTATGCCACAACACTTAGCACGTATCAAACAAACAACTATCGAACTATGTTCAGTAAAATTCTCAGTTAATTCCTAATTATAGAGCTATGCTTTTTAGCTATTTTTCTAAAATTTGTCATCTGTTACTTTTTATTCTATAGGCTGGGTGAAGAAGAGACAGCCATGAGGCAAATAAGCAATGTCTAATTCTGAATTTTAAAGGAATTTTACGAATTAGTTTCTTAATTATTTAACTAATGCGAAATAAAAATTGTATGGGTACATTTTTTACAAAGATTACGGTATATATCCTTGATCTGGAGTTGTCAGAAATATTCATCAACAGATTTGGAATAACTATTTATTTAATTTATCTCTTGTAAAATTGCTTGTTTTCAACTTTATTTATTATTTTTCAATTTAAAATATTAAAATCATTGACTCCATTTTTTAGTGACTCATATTGTTTGACTTGTTTAAATTTTTCTTCATTGAATTATGCTTGTATTATGAACAAGATACCAATACTAATTATTGAATTTATCAACAATGATTTCAGTGTCTTATTGTTTGTTCTGATATCAAAAATTCAAGTCGATGAAAATCCTTCCATAGACGTCCTAACAAAAAAAAACACATTGAATAATTATTAATCACGTTTGACATACTTAATTAAATATTACAAAATGAACAGTTTCGACTTAAAAAATAAATTATATAAATAAAAAATTACTTTAATTTTCAACAAAAATTTCAATTATTGTATAACTGTATAAAGACGATTTTGGTGGAACTTTGTATATGATGTGATTTGTATATCCACAATACTATCGGTCTACGAAAAGTTGTTTAATTATAAAAATTCATCAAAGTTTCTAATTGTTAATTGTTTGAAAAGAGTCTGAAATATATTTTATTATTTTAAATAAATAAAATAAATAATGGGCTGTGAATTTCAAAATTCTAACATAACAATTTAGCAAGTTTAATAGTCTCAATTCTTATGAAGTTACGATTTACAAATTTCGGGAATTATTTGCAGTTTAAGCCAAAAGGTCACTTACATCTAGTTAATTACTTATTTTGTGTGCGTTAACTATTAACAAATAAGAAACAATATATATTGTAGGCTTTCAGGTGAGATAAAACAAACTTTTGTGAAAATTTTTGATGTTTAGTAATTTATTTGTATCTATTACTACTTTAGAAATTGCTTTCATTACGTCCTAAAATATTTCAAATGAATGACTAATATTTGCAATAAACATGGTAAATTATTCTAATTTTTGGTTGGCTCTAGCTACATATTAATGAATTCTTATCTTAAATGTTAGATTGAGCTAACTACCTCATAATAAATTTTAACACCATGTGACTTATCTATGATCAACACGATACGTATAAGTATGTTTTGTACACACACATAGAGTATGCATTGTTAATATTTAAATTTTTAAAATAACAAATTCATTCATATATGTAGTAGACTTATCACAGGAATATTTATGATGTTATCATACGTAAATACATACTTGTAAATATATCTATATCGGTTTCGGCTTAATATTCGCAATTATAATTATTAATTAATCATCCCATTATTACTGTGACTATATTTGTTTTTCAATTTGTCTTATCATCTAGTAACAAAGTAAAACAAATTATTGATACAAAATTTTAAAGTTTTTGACATTAAAATGATCTAATGGCACGACAAGAACCCAGTCGAGTAAGTATAGAGAGCATTTTTACTTGATTGAAAAATATATAAAAGATGTTATATTTGATTAATATTATTTGGTTCAAGATAGTTTGTCTCGAAGATTTTCAGCCTTGGCAATAATTTGCGACATAATAATTGTGATTAAAATGTTTATAATCATTGAATAAATATATGTATTTATAAAGCGGTAACAATGGTAGTTCGACGAAAATTTAGTAATTCATAATTCCATAAACCTGATTAATGATTGCCATGCATGACTTATATTTTTATCACAATTAGAGTATTAATACAATGCTTAGATTACAAATAAAATACTTTACTTGTGGCTGTAATAAATTTCATATTATTTAATCAAAAGTATTCAAATTAACATTCTTTCTAATTTAGTGCGTTTTTTATATTTTAAAAAATCTAAAATAAATATTTCATTTTATGCCTAATTTTCAACATCATTCTCTCTCTTTGCTTATAATAATTGATGCTGAATTATAAAGATATGTATATCTATAAAATTCTAATGTGCTTCTTTTTCTAGCTGAAATTAGTTTTGCCTTTGTATAAATTTTCATAGTTTATTTGCAAGTTTTCACAGTTGTTTAACAATTATAACTAGGATGTTTGTTTTTCATAAAGTTCTTATTATATATTCTTTAGGAGTTATATACTAATACATCTTTGCTTAGAGAAACTACCAAAGTTTTGCTTGGTATCTTTGCATTTCTATATATTTCTGAGTTTTTACCATGTTCGAGAAAAAAAACATGTATATTATATTTGTTTATTGGCAAATATGGATGTTGTACAAATCATCAACTACTTCTATAGAGTTTAAAAATATTTAGTAAAACTCGTAAACTGAAAAAATACTATATGTAAATAATTTATAATGGGTTTTGGCAAATGAAATTATTACCATATTATCATTTCACATTTTTGTATCGGTTATTTCATTGATTTTTATTTATTGCTAAAACTTAACTTGTTAATTGATTTTTGTGATTTTGATACGAGCAGAAATTTTTAAAGAAATAATGTTGATGACTGATGATGACTGTCCCTTTTTACCCAGCTAATGAGGTAAAAAAGAACAGATAACAAATTTAAGAAAAATAGTTAAGGATTTTACTGAACATTGTTTGATAACTGCTTGTTTCATATGTGTTCAGAGTTGTGATGTAGTTAATTAAGTTTAGACAGTATAATTACTGAAAGTCCAATAGACTTTTTTGCCTCGCCCTACCCCACTATAATTTTTTGAGAAAAGTTTTGATGATCATAGTTGGACAGTTTTATATATTAATGTTTATATGAAAAAAATAATTTTACTATATATATATATATATATATATATATATATATATATATATATTCATCAAACTACAACTGCTTCAAAAGACATTTAGTCATTGTTGTGACTAAGATAATAAATAAAATTTTAAAATACTACCTATTGGTAGTATTTCAAGTTTGTATAATAAATATAAATATGTGAAAATAATTACAAGCACTATACTAAATATATTACTATACTAAATCTAATGGATCTAATCTTCTTAGTCTTCTCATAGTGTTAGCAGAGAGTAGGTCCTTTGCGAATTTACAAGAGATAATTTAAATAAATAGTTATTCCAACTCTGATGATGAATATTTATTGCATATTATATATAGTAAATATGTAATTATAATATAAATCAACACCAACTCACGTAGTGCTTTCCAAACGATATACTTGTATATAGGACTTACAAAAAGTAGTACATACAATAAATTTATAAAATTTTCAACAAATCCTTATCAACTCAACAATAAAATTAAATTCTTAAAATTTATTTAATGTTGTGTGTTAACAAAACTCAATGAATTAATTGAACTAATTAATAAATTAAATAATATTTTATTGTTTCAGAATGAGGCCAGGTCTGGAAGTACCGACCAGCTGGTTTCTAGGGGTAATTGGGCAAGTCATTTTGAATTTTTACTTGCTTGTCTAGGATATGCAGTCGGTCTCGGAAATGTCTGGAGATTTCCCTATCTAGCTTACAGAAATGGTGGAGGTACGTTTTCATAAATATTTAATTCATGTAAGATATTTGATTTGCAATCATAGGTTAGCCAAAATTTTATTACGCTTACATGTCTTCACAATGTCAACTGATATCCATTTTTATTAAAAAAACATACGCTAAAAATATGTTTCCAGAGAAGAGAAAACATATAGATATTCTCACTCTGAAATTTTTTTGAAAATTAATTATAGTTTATCATAATATCACGCCCTTGCTTAACGCGAAATACTTCATTATTAATATCTTTCTTTATGAAATTCGTAAGCTATTATAAATTATGTAGACACATAAGTCTATAAAGAAAACAAGTTGCAACTCCCACACCTAAAATTTTTTACCTCTAGTAATTTATATTTATATAAATATTTGTATACTAATTATCCAAACAATTTGAACAAGAATATTTATTGGTTTAATTTCAAAAACATTTTGATTTTCATATATTTTATTTATTTCATTTATTGGAGGAATATTAATTCTATTTATTTATATAACAAGAATTTCAAATACTGAATATTTTTCTTTAAATATTTATAAAACTATTTTTATTATTTTATTATTAACATTAAGAATTATTATTTATTATAATAAAAAAAATCTATTTCATATATAAATGTTATTTTCATTTTTAGTAATTATAATTAGAATAAATTTATTACTATCAAAATTATTAACGTTTAGAGTACATTACGGATCATTTTGCTAATAAATATGTTATGTTTCATATACTAATGTTATAAAATTATTAATAAACAAAATTAAATTGACTTATTCTTAATTATATTGATTTTATAGTATAGAAGATGATTAAAAACGCGAGAAATATTTCAAACTTAAGGGATATTTTAGTTGGACAATATTTTATTTGTATAATATATATGCATAATTACATTTTTATAATATATCTGCATAATTACAAAAAAATAGTTTTGAATATTTTTACTTTCTTCAACATTTATATATTTCTACACAATAATGAATGATCATACTTTTCTATATAATGAATATGTTATAAGTTATGAATATGTGTAATTGTACAAAAGTACTAGAAGAAGAATTTAAAATTAAACATTTTAAAAGACTAGATAATTTATACATCTAAACGTACAAAAGTACTTAAAAATCTTATAAATGCACTTTGATCTTTCATATGTTTTTTAAAATTTTTTTTTTCTCCTTTTTCAAACTTTTTGTCAGTATACTCAAAATACAAGAAATTTTAAATTCGATAGCAAAGTAAAATGTTTTCTTTGTTTTGATGTTTAATATTTTTGGGCGATAGTATCACGAAATGTTTAGATTATAGAAAAATTCACAAAAAATGCTAAAATCATAAAATATGCTAAAAAAGTTATATTGATTTGACGAATCAATTTCATTAATATTATTAACACTGATACCTAATGACAATGCAGATGTGAAATTGAAATGGAAGTAAAAGGGCATTTACATATTCAAGAATTTAAAATTAAGTTTTACCTTTTATACCTTACATAAATATTTATAGACAATGTTAGGTGTTCCAGATACATTAACACGATAGCATTTCAATGCAAATGATATTATTCTAGATTTTCACTTAATTTATAATTTGATTTCATCATGTTTCAATTAATTATTCTATTCTTTTTAGGTGCTTTTCTCATTCCATTTATTATAATGATGTTAGTAATTGGTCTTCCGACATTCTTTTTGGAAATGTCAATTGGCCAATATTCGGGTTTGGGACCAATAAAATCATTCGCTGCGATATCTCCAATATTTGGGGGTACAGGATACGCAGTCCTGGCAGTTATTACGCTTGTCACCATCTACTATGAAGTCATCGTCGCATGGATTCTATTTTATATATTTGCTTCATTTTCATCGGAACTGAAATGGGGATCGTGCAGGAATAGTTTTAACACAATGGGTGAGTTAACTGCAAAATAAATTTATTATTTATTAATTTGATTATTGTTTTTTCTGCCCATTCATAATATTGCGGAAATAAGTTAGGCATGTTTCGTTGAACAACTCCCATGCTCGAACTGTTAAAACTTTTTCATGGTGATTTGTATCTACAAACTTTTAAGCTTAGAATGAAGAGCAATATTTTATCAATTCCTCATCCTGTTCAAATACAGTATGATGTATTATGCTCGTGCATCCTCATATTTTTCACGCTTTCATTCAAGAAACATGGTCATTTTCTTTGGACTCGTGGTTATAAAAGTAAATAATATTTTGTAAATGTACGAAAAGCAAAAAAAAACGCGAACTCAACATATTAACTGTATGATTACTAGTAGTAAAATTTTCAAACCTTAAATTAATCCTGGATATATCTGGGTGAGTAATTTGTTACTACACAATTACTATTAATACATATATGATTGAAATGACTAATTATAAAATAACTTACTATCATAAAACAACAATCATGTTACACTTAACGAATTTTTTCATATTTTCATTTTGCCAACATCTTTTTCCTAGAAAACTTTTACACGCGCTAAGCTCGTATTTCGAATTTGGTCGCATGTCGATGCAATGATATATATTTTGAGCTTTGAATAAATAATCGAAAATAGCAATAAATAATGCCATGATTATCAAAAATCATGATTTGTAGTCGACGTTTTGGAACTATGTACATTTCATCTTCCGGATATGATTTCGGTTAGAAGTTGAACAAACAAAACTAATATTACGAAAAATATAAATGAATTTCATATATATTATACATCCGGATATGCGATTAGGTTCATTACAGTAAACAAATTCTTAATTAAATTAACATTAAAATATAAAGCTAAGACGATATTAAGCCTAGAAATGAATTTATGTAATGCAATTAACAGAAACTTGAAAGTAAAATACTAATAATAATGTGAGAGATTATTTGAAGCTTGATATTGGAATGTTCAGTACATATTCAAAATTGGTATATGTCTCAAATTTGAAAAATAAAAAATAAGGGCAGTATCAAAAAAAGTATAAAAATTATGTGATGATATAAAACTAGAAAAGAATTGTTAAAACAATATTAATAAAAAAATGGGAAAATGATGTAAACAAGTAAAAAATATGAATTGTCGCAAAAAAATTCAATCAATGATTGGATTGTATGAAGGAATATCAAAATAACAACAAACGTTTTATTATAAAAAAAAGTTTTAAAAATTGAGAAAAATGCAACAAGCATTACGTATATCATAAAAACATTTTTTTTGTTTTGAATCATGCATTTTTGTCACATTTTTGTAACTGGTAATTACTAGTTAATTTTTTTTACAGTTACAAGAAACCAAAAGTGAAAAAAAAGAATATAGACATTTGATTAATTTTTTTAGAAAATTTAAATAGGAATCCTGTAAGAGATTATGATGTTCTTGACATGTCTTGATGATGAAACGTAAATAGTTTACAAATAAAATTTGTTAAAAAAACTTTTTGATTTAATGTTTAATATATAATGTCAATTTTTAAAGAATATATTTTATTACATTTATGCATAGTGTATTCTCGTCTTATAGTAGTAACTAATAGTTAATAAGTATCCGAGGATGATACTAACCAAACTTCACTAAATCATAAAATTAATTAAATATAATTCGGTTTTAATTAGTACATACATAATTGTTAGTGTGGATATTTGAAATTGGCTTGACAAATATTTTACAAAACACGAACACCGCCAAAAATATAATAAAACTGACCTCGCTCTATCTGTGTACTGTTGAATTTTATTGGGGGTTTAAAAATATTTGCATTACTTATACGGTATTAATATTGCATAAAAAATATGCTCGTTAATATTACTATATCCCAGATGATAACATATTGCTCTATATCAGTATTGACTTTTGACAAGCCAATGAAATATACGTATATAAAAGATTAACCGCGATAATAATTGAAATTTTCTCGTCCTACGTACAATGATTGCGTACATATTTCGTATTCATCAACATTGTTTTAACTGGACTATCATCGAAAATTAATAAAGACCGATAATGATAACAGATAAGATAAGCACTTGAAATGCCCAAAGAATATTTTGATTTTTTGTGATTTGATAGATAACAATATGTAAGTTATTGACATGGAAACGTGAACAATAAAATAATTTCTGCTACTTTTCAAAACGGTCAATTTAATAAAAAGAATTTTGATTGAAGATTTTAACTTTTGCAATTTTCTAAGAAATGTGTAAATTTTAACAGATTTAGGTTCTACGTTATCTACATTCTTACCTAATCTTTATTACATTTACATAAGAACGATAATATAATTAATCAACAGGCATGTATTATCTAAATATTTTGCGCTGTCATAATGTAATAAGTAATGTTTTATGGGCATTTCTCAAACTATGCTGGAACTGTTAAGTTTATAATTATGATAAGCGAAAATGTGTTCGGTGATTTATATATTTTGAAAAAATATGTTAACGATTTGCCTATCAGATATGTGAATAACATATATAGAATTCAACATATATAATAAATTTTTAATTATTACATATTTTGCTGTCATAAAAATAATGGTTTTAAATCTCTTATTCAGATATAAATCTATGTTGGCACACCAACGACATCGTCGAATTCAAACTATTTTATGAATGACAATTGAATATGTTAGATTGTTTAAAAAATTAACCTTTACTCAAAAATTATATTTAGGAATAAGAATAGGAATTTCACTTCAAGAATAATTTGTTTCAAAATTAGTTATAATAAATAGTATTAAAATTGCATAAAGGGGTATTCTAGTTAGTATAGATTCATTATAAGTCATTTTTAAATCATTGTAAAAAAGGCAATCAGCTTTTTACTATCATTTTTTCTATAATGTATTTATCAACGTTACAAGAGCATAGAAACAAAAAATTCCAAAAAATTGACACGCGATCATGCCCACGATTGCAGCTCTTCTAGTAATCCGAAATAAAAAAAAGATTATTAATTTAGAATTATGTCGCAATAATATTTAGTTTTTTTTAATATAATGGATTAAACAGGTTTCATGTCAAGAATTTATATAAGACACAACTATGTGTTTTCAAATTGAAATTTATAAATATATTGAAATTTCAATTTTATCACTTGTCTTAATTCATAATCAAATTAAATTTTAAGATTAACCATAGCCAAAAACGTTTATTGTTTTTAATTTGAGTAACACCAGATTGCCTATAATATCTTATTGTTCCTACCTGTTGTTAATACTATTCAATTATCAAATATAAGTCGATTTATTTTTATTATTTTTTAAAATTTAACGGTATATAATAATATATAATTTAAAATATATATATATATATATATATATATATATATATATAAACCTTTGCCCATATAGCAATAATTTATTGATACTTTAAGGGTTTTTATTTTATTCAAACATAAGAATTCTAACACAGTTTCACAATCATTTAACAATACTTAACATTGATATAACATTACAAATCACTGATATAACATTTTTGTAAACTGCGAAAAACCATTCAAAGAGCACTTTGACCAACTTGTTTCTTTTCATAGCCTGGAGCCCAGTTTTAAATAATTTTGAAAATAAGAGATCATTCTCAAATACATGTATGAGAAGAGCTTTATATGCAGAGTATTTAGAAAAGTACGTTTAGAGAAATAAAAATGAAATTTACTATAAACTTGTTTATATATGCATATATCAATATTGATTCAAGATAATAATGATGATAAATAATTATATATTAGAAAATGCACCATCGTTTGTAATACGGTTCTCATAATTTTCATCAGCGTGATCTTGCCTGCGTTAAAACTTTAATGATTTAAAATTACAATATTTTAATTACATTTAAATAAATTCTAGCTAAATTTACTTACATAATGTAATTAAGTGCAAAAATTTTGATCATTGTTATATTACTATATATACATTAATCAATACACAGTTAAGGTCAAAACATTTTCTACTCATTACACCAGATTTACACACAAATAAAGTGAAACTTTGTACCTTATGAGCCTTCTATAAAAGTACTCTGGTATCGAATTTTATCACTGTCCAATATGTATCAACAAAATATTACTACATGGGCAGGGAAATATCGCAATGTTTTAGAATAATTATTCTGTCACATAAAAACAGATTGTTACAGTGTAACGGAAGACAAAGAATGCCGAAGTTGGACCAACGGATCATACACTTTCTATCAAAAAGCTTGCACGCCGGTGAAAGACATATGTGATAAATTCAATCTCTCATATGGGGATGGAATGCACTGCCGCAATGGATCGCAAAGTTTTCATCTTAGCACCATCGTGACACGCACCCTGGCAGCCGAAGAATATTACTAGTAAGTCATATTTTTATTACACAATATTAAGCTTTTAAAGTCAAATTGAAATATCTCTTCAATGCGAAAATTATATAATATTTGTGTGTAATCAAGATAAATTATCAATGATTGAAACTGAAATGAACGAATGCAGTTGAAAGTTTTCTGTAAAAGAATTTTTATTTTGTGCCTGGAAAATAAAATGAAATTTCATATTTGTCTGGCGGCCTTTCTCTACTGCCAGGAAATAATTTATAATAAATTTATCATGTCAAGCGGTTAGTTCGGAAGCAAAACTAATTATTTATGACAGAAATTTGCTCAGCGTCTTTTTGTAATGGATAATAAATTTTATTTTTTATTGACTCTTCTAATTTAGCGCTGGAACTTCCCGTATCGTGCTTTGAAATTTTTAGAAAGTTTTGAAAATATTTTTTTTTTGAAAATTTTGAAATTTCTTGAAAATTTTGTTTTTCTTAACGTTTTCGAAAACATTTGGAATTTTGAATTTTTTAAAAGCGATCGCGTTGCGTAGCTATTTTAGAGTCGAAATATCGAAGCGCGAAACGCCGCGTCGCAATCAAACAGTTAATCATTATAGATCTTAGTACGGAACCTATAGAAATGTAAACAAAATGTGTGCTCATTATTAAAATCTGCGTTTTTTAACTTTTTCTATTAGATCTCCGAAACCGCTGAGTCTGTTTTTCCAAAAATTATTTTAATCGGACGTTCCGTTCTCTCAAGAACTGAGTTGCCATTTTTTACACTTTTTACTCCGTATCTTCAAAATGGCTGGATCTACCCTTGCCAAAAACTAATCAGCACGTCTCCTTATCAATAGAGAACGATTTTTTTTTTTAACGAAAATTTGTACCGAACATACATATTACACAAATACATCCATTTTTTCTAAAGTATGCCAAAATTTTCAGAAAACGTATAGATATGTAAAAAAATATTTTGGATTTTTTGCGATTACTATGCTTTACTTACTAACTACTAAATTAATAATTACTAACCCTGCGCGAAGTTAAAAGATATTATATTTCTTATTATTATAAAGTAGCAAACAGATTTAACTTTAACATTTCCATTGTAACAATATAATTATTAAAGTTATGTTATTAAGATAAATTATCTTAAAACACAATGTAAAAATCATCAAACTCATCACTAAAATTTTCATAAAAACCTTGAAGTCATGAATATTCGACATTCAATTATAGAAATATAATTAAACAAGAAGTGCATGACCAATTTGTTAAAACTTTAAAAAGCACGGATTCTTTATTTATGTGATTACACAATTACACTGCTGGATAAATCATAAATATTTCAAGTTTGCAAGGTAGATTTTAAAATTGTTTTATTTTTTTTTGGTTTTACTTGTCAATTATAATATAAGCTAATAGAATATATGTCCGTTAACATAAAATGAAATTGATGAAAAAATTATACTTGAACTCAATAGTAAACCGCCCTTTTCACGATTTTTTCTCTATTTATTATGTATACTATTTATTCGATTAATTACACACAAAACAAATCGCATAATACGTATAACACATATAATACTATTAAATAACTTAATTAATTAATATAGTATATATGATTTAAAAAAAAAACACAGATACAGATAAATATTTTTGACCTAGGCCAAGTATAATGGACTTGGAATTATCATAGACCTAATACATTTAATTTTCAAATTCAATTACATACTACAAGAACAAATCTTTATTTTATACTTCCACATAATTTTCATTTGATGTCAATAGTTTTATGATAATGTAACTTGTTATTCACATCATACTTCGTCAGATCGTAAAGAAACGGCCTACGGGCCCAACTTTCCCTTGAGGACCGCGCGTTTCACACACTTGCAATAGAAATTGTTTAATAGTGTTTTACTGTTACAGTTAAATTTTTCTATCATAAAATATGTTTAACATCTGATATCTTGGTACGGAGAGATTAAATTTTCTCTTATTATATACTCAGTTGAGGTTTGTGGTCATTGAGGTTGTCAAGATGATTAGATAATATAATAAGGAACAAAAGATCAATTGATTATTGATAAGATTTCCAAATTTTTGCAAATCTCGATATGAATTCCAAATGATACGATAAGCTCTATTCCACTTATGATTATACTTGTAGAAACATACAGTCCCGTAATGTTTCTCAAAATTCTTCTTTTCGGCGTGTGCATTTTGAGCAATACAACAAATTTATATTATTTTCCGTAAAACGATAAGATAAGGTATCAGTCCGATATCTGATTGTATATTAAATATATGATAATTTGGCGATTTTCATTATTATAGGGCTTACAACTATTATTTATTATTACTAATTTTAATATTGCTTAGTTCTTAATTCCATTAAATACAAAACGATAACTTTCTGCGGCATATGATTTGTGTGTGTGCATATTTTTTGTAAATTAATGAATTCCAATATATAGGCTGCGGCCTCCTGGTTAGAGCGTTGTCCTTTCAAACAGAGGGTTGCAGGTACTATATCTACCTTTGACAACCTAATCTAAAGCTGCAGTAACATGAACTTTGCTTCAAATAATGTACTTCACCGTTGTTGTTCATAATAAAATATAGGTTGCCTTTTTAGTAGCAGTTCAATCAAAAGGCCACGATGGCCCAATTTATTTTCAAGACTTCTTAAAAAAAAAATAGAAAATTCTTACAAAAATATACTTCTTAAAGAAAGAGCTCACACTTAAAGCGCTCTTGTTATTGGATAATGCACGTTCTAGCACCAAACGTTTGTACAAAATTTGGGAAGAGGAATAAAAAAAACAAAGGATGAAAGACCAGTTAAACGATTTCTAGAGCAGCCATTAAGAACTTTTTGGTCAAATGGTTAGAAGTGTAAAAATTTACATACAGTAGAACTCCAATTATCCGAACTCCAATCATCCGAACTCCAATTATCCGAACTCCGACTATCCAAATCGCCGATTATCCGAATCACTTTCAAAAAAATAATGTCCAAAAAAAGTCTAAGTGCGCTATTATTCTTCCACCAGCAAATCCAGTGTAGACACATTGTTTGTTTTGATTTGACGGAGATGTTTACAAAACAATGATTTTTATTTCTAAACTTGTACATAAGTACATTTTATTTATATTTAAAACATGTGAAAATGTCATGTTTCTTTCATTTAATTCAATAAAAAAATAGTGCAATATCAAAACGTAACTTTTTTTCTCCCCAATGGTAATTTTTTTAAAAAAAAAATCCGAATATTTGATTATCCGAATATTTGATTATCCGAATCGGTCCCGGTCCCCATTAATTCGGATAATTGGAGTTCTACTGTATATGTTTACAGGCATGGCTGAAGTTAATAGAATAAACGATATGTACAATGATACGCAGGTTAGAATTTTTGGCATGTATTAATGAAAAGAAAAATATTTCACCTAAATGTTCACCTTTAAACACCTAATGACATTTTTTTAATTCTGAAATTAAAAACACAATGAAAGAAGTTTGTCGTTTTGTCGTTTGTCGCGAGTTTCAAATATAATTCATTTTATTTTAAATTTAATAACATATATATATTTACTATGACCATATTTTATACCACAGAACGAATTATTTATTGCCCGAAGAAGAAGTTTCTATTTTTGATCAAAAATCCGATTTGCTAATTTTATGTTTTTTCGACGTTTAAAATCTTAATGAACATACTAGAATATTATAGTCCTACGGAAACTAGTTCAATTATAAAAATTTATCGAATTTTTAAAATTTGCTTTTAGAAAATACTCCTAGTTATATTAGACACGTGTTCAATTTTCAATAATGTGTAATAAATCCACTGGGAATAATTATAAATCTTTCATTTTTTAATTTATTAATTATTGATTAGGTCGATTATTTATGCATTTCGGGAAGTTCACGTAACTTGCTTTAATATCACTTACAACTAGTTTTATTTTTATGTATTATTTTGTATTTTTAAGTAAAGCACGGGAAGTAATTAATTGTATTACACAAAGCAAAAATATTTACACGTTTTCAAAAGTTTTGAATATTTTGTGAATATATAATATGTAGTGCACTCGTGTTGATAAATCATGATTTAGATGATGAGTAAGAATGTTCACATATCTATTGATTGAATTTATCGCGTACATTTGAATTTAGCGCTTCATAGCCGCTGTTGAGTATGGCAGCGCATACAGCGATTCAGTGTAATCTAATCGGGCAATACGAATCCATCAATTGACATATGCACGTGTGCTCGCTATGTGCGAAAATAACCTACAACGAAGATCAACTATTTTTGAATATGCACAATCGAAAATATTATACAATTACAATATGAAAAATATTTTCTAATAATTTAGTTGTACTTAGTAGTGTTTGTATTTTTAGTGAACTGAATTATTGATTCGAATCAAAATGCATAAAGGAAGTCGAATATATGTACCTAGCCGTGCTTTAGGTTATGTTAGTAATGAAAGACCTTTAATTGTAAGATATATTCAACGAAGGAAGGAATACTTAATTGTAACATGCGTAGGTCGATCTTTTCATACTTACGGGTGTTCCCATTTCACATTATTGAGCACGAGTGGGTTACATCCATCGGATATAACATGTATGACTGCAGATGCTTTTCTTGTTTTCACGGCAGCAGACAACACAATATTTGCATGGAGAAGAGGGCGAGAGCTAAAACACACTTACAGGGGCCATGAAAAACCTATTCACCTTATGCTGCCATTTGGTCCTTTACTGCTATCTGTTGATCGAGATAATGTTTTGAAAATGTGGGATATAAAGACGGAGGCATTACACTCGGAATTATCTTTTGACTCGTCAACATTTCAAGTGTCGGCAATATTACATCCAAGCACCTATATAAATAAAATATTGGTTGGTAGTGAACAAGGTCAAATGCAATTATGGAATATTAATACAATGAAATTGTTATACACGTTTAAAGGTTGGTTAAAGCCAATTAAAGTTTTAGAGCAAGCACCAGCGCAAGATGTTGTTGCCATTGGATTGACAGATGGTACCATAATTCTGCATAATTTAAAATATGATGAAACTGTTGTGGAATTTCAACAAGATTGGGGTTGCGTTTCATCAATTTCGTTCAGAACAGATAGCAAGCCTATGATGATAACGGGAAGCATGAATGGTAATATTGTCTACTGGGATTTGGAAGAGAGGAAATGTATTGGCCAATTAGAAAATGCACATGATGGAGCTGTGCATGGGCTGCAATGCTTGTCAGGAGAACCTTTGCTATTAACATCATCAAATGATAATACACTAAAATTGTGGATCTTTGATATGCCTGATGGTGGTGCAAGGCTGTTAAGAATACGTGAAGGACATTCCGCCCCTCCAAGTTTTATTCGATTTCATGGATCATTAGGTCAAAACTTGCTGTCCGCTGGAGCTGATTCTACTTTAAGAATATTTAATACTGTAACAGAAACTTTCAATAAAAGCTTGGGTAAAGCATCTTCAAATAGAAAAGCTACAAAGAAAAAACATAGAACTGCTTATGATCCTTTAATTTTACCTCCGATTATGGAGTTTACTACTGAAGTTACAAGAGAGAAAGAGTGGGACAACATTGCAGCGTTACATTTAGATAAATTGGCAGTTACTACTTGGTCGTATGATAAGTTGAAGATGGGAGAATTACAATTATTTCATGATCGATTTAGAGATACAAATAAATCTCATAAATATTCAAAGGTATATGCTACCTGTTTATGTTTAACAAATTGTGGCAATTTTGTTCTTATAGGCTATAATAGTGGTCATCTCGACAGGTTTAATATTCAGTCTGGATTTCACAGAGGAACATATGGCAGCGACACTGCACATATGAGTGCTGTAAGAGGTGTTGCAACAGATAATTTGAATTTATTTACAATATCAGCAGGAGGTGATGGAATTATAAAATTTTGGCACTTCAAAAACAAAACAGACAAAGAAATATATACATTAGATTTAAAAGAAAGTATATCATTTGTGAGGTCACATTCTGAGTCATCTATGCTTTGTGTTGTACTCGAAGAGTTTAGTATATGTATTGTGGATATAGATACAAGGTCTGTTGTGAGAAAATTCAAAGGTCATAGTGCTTCTATTACGGATGCTGCTTTCAGTCCTGACACTAGGTGGATTATAACATCTTCTATGGATTGCACTATTAGAACTTGGGATATACCTTCAGCAAATTTAATTGACCAGTTTAGAGTCGAGTCACCTTGCACATCACTGACAATGTCGCCAGTGGGAGAGTTTTTGGCCACTACTCATGTTGATTATTTGGGAGTTTTTCTTTGGGCTAACAAAAGCTTATATACACATGTATCTTTGACTGCCATAGACAGTGAAAAGGAATGTCATCTGGTAGACTTGCCTAATACTGTAACAGCAGTAACAGAACTTGACGTAGAGGAGCAGGATGACAATGATGATAAATTTGTATCTCCTGAACAAATAAACAAACAATTGATTACTCTTTCTAAGTTATCTACATCCAGATGGCAAAACTTGTTAAATTTAGATATAATAAAACAAAGGAATAAACCCAAAGAAGCTCCAAAAGTATTAAAAACAGACTTATTCTTTTTGCCTACAATACCTTCTCTAAATATGACATTTGATTTAAATAAGGAAAAATCCGATTCAGGAATTCATAGAACACTTAACTCAGAAGTAATTCACAATTTAACTCCATTTGGGAAATTGTTGGAAGAATCTATTGAGAGTAATATATTTGATAGTGTTATTGAAGGAATTAAAAATATGGGACCTTCTAGAATTGATTTTGAAATAAATTCGCTGTCTCAAATTGGCAATGCAACTGAAGGAATTATGTTACAATTTTTAAAAATGATAGATTTTATGTATAGTACGAACAAAGATTTTGAGTTAGCACAAGCATATTTAGGATTATTTTTGAAAGTACATGCTGATATAATTTCTAAAAGCGAATTGCTTCGAAATTATTTAAATACTATTACAAAATCTCAATCTAAGAGATGGAAAATTTTAGAAAATCAGTTTTTCTACAATATATCGATTGTACAAAATTTAAGAAACTTGTCTGGTTAAATACATTGTTATCTAAGATATATGGTGTTTTATTTATTGAATGATTATTTATCATTATTAGTATGTCTATAGCATCTTGCAGTAAGCTTTTTTAAACCAAACTATATGTAGAGCGTATTTACTAGGTTATTGCTATTATTATTATTAGCAACCAAACAGAAATTTTAATTTAATGGTCCTGTTTATGATTGTATTTTTCATATATTACAATACAAAAAGTTAATTTCCCAATATATATTTCAGTGATATTCTTATATATATAATAATATATGAAAGTAAATTCATGCTTTTTTGTTAAAAAAGCAATACTAATGTACGATTCCATGTGTCTTCAAAATTTTGATACATGTCATTAAACTGTTTAATAATTTTTTACTTATCTGATCTAATGTAATGTATGTTATATTCAAAGAATCAATATTTTTTTCAGTAACTACGTGTTAGGTCGTTATGACCACACATGGGAAGACTGGGGTGCTCCGAGTTGGCAGCTTCTATTGTGCTTGGCCCTAGGATGGATCATAACGTGTTTATGTTTATTGAAAGGAATCAACAATGCCGGATATGTTCTTTATGTGACAATATTTTCACCCTACATCGTACTCGTAGCCTTACTTATAAGAGGAGCGACGTTAGACGGAGCACTAGAAGGAATCAAATTTTACATAACCCCGGATTTTAGCGCGCTGAAAAGTCCTGATGTTTGGGGAGATGCTGCTTCACAGATATTTTATTCGTTTGGTATAGCATGTGGTTCTTTGGTAACCTTATCTTCCTACAATCCATTCAGCAATAATTGCCACAGAGATGCGGTATATGTCTCAGTTCTAAATGTACTGACTGCAATTTTTGCTGGATTCGTTGTATTTTCTATAACTGGTTTTCTGGCTCATGAGATGGGAGTTCCTCTGTCAGAAGTGGCCGAACACGGGCCTGGTTTAGCTTTCGTGGCTTATCCGGAAGCAGTAAATATGATGCCTATACCTCAATTATGGTCTGTGCTGTTTTTCCTTATGATGCTCGCGCTCGGTCTCAGCAGTCAATTCGGAGGATTGGAAACTATCAATACGTGCATTATAGATCAATGGCCGCAATTGAGAGCACATCGATGGAAGGTAAAGCACCTAGATAAATAAGCATAAATATAGCACCTAGATAAATAAGCATAAATATAGCACCTAGATACATAAGCGTAAAGCACTTCAACTACACTTATCATTTTATATAAGCTTGCCATTTATAAAATATATATAAAAGTAGCTAAAGAAAGGCAAAAGATCACCAAATAAATATGAAAATGAATCAATATTTATTACATTAGTTAGTCACATTGATTTTTTCGACTACATAACAGCTTGTGTATAATTTTATGTTCATCACTATCAATTTATATTACATATAACGGTTACGGAAAAAATATTTAGAAAAAAGTTCTTGAACAATTTAATGCAATTATAAATTTCCAGGTGACAGTCACCACATGCACAGTTTGCTTTATTCTTGGAATCCCGATGGTATGTGGAGGTGGTGTTTACTTATTCACTCTTATGGACTGGAACACTGCTTCCTGGGCAGTTTTACTCATTGGCATGGCACAGGTAATACTTATAAAATATGCTTAATAAATATATAACTATTTTTCTTTGATTATTGGATAATTGAAAATCACGTTATTCTATGAATTTTTGTTTCATAATATAACAGAACTATATATATGTACACATATGTATATATATATATATATATATATATATATATATATGATATTTTTTTATAGCTGGTTTTAGTATCGTGGTCATATGGAATGAATAAGTACTTAGACAACATTGCTGAAATGGGTATCAAGCTCAATCGTTTTGCAAAATGGTATTGGAAAGTCACAATTGCAGTTATATCGCCCCTTGCATGCTTGGTAAATTTGATTTGCTTTTTTATTGAATTGAAATGAAATACTTTTTCTGCAGAAAGCATTAATATTAATTTATATATTTTGTATATTCTACTTATAGGCCGTATTCATATTCCTTATGATCAATTATGAAACTGCTACGTTTGAAGACTACATATTCCCTGCTTGGGCAGACGCTATTGGAATTTTAATAGGATTGACTACATTAGTACCCATTCCAATATATACTATGTACTTGCTCTTTAAGCGTAAAATTGTAAGTATATCACAACAAATAATAATTCCTACCATTAAAATAGTGAAAATTTAAGTCTATACTAAAGCAGTTAATTTATTTGTACACAAGAACTTTTGATACTATTATGATATATATTATTCAGACCGGCTGGGACCTATTCAAACCGACAAAGGCATGGGGACCTCAAACTGATGTTAATAGACGTGCGTCTCTCTTGGTTGCAAGAACTGATGGGGAACAAAACACTAAAGAAGTCTAAGTATAGACATAAAAGACTGATGCGATATTCATAATAAGAAATTTTTATCGTATGTTTATGTGTTAATCTTTTTATATGTATTAATAGTAAGGAATTTGTATTTGTAATACGTTATTATTTATAATATAAATATTTATATGACCACTAAATTTAATAAATGCCATTTTTTATTAAATAATGTTTTATCTCTATCTGGGTATATTAGATTAGCTGGTAAAATAAATTCTTCATAGTAAATTTATTAATCTCCTGCAAGAGAAGTTTATTTTTGGCAGCAAATGACCTGCTAATTTTGCTTTATTGACGTTCCAAGTCATTCTGAATTGTTTGAGATCAAAATTCGAGGAAGTATTTGTATGTGATTGTGTGGGCCAGCGATTTTACTTTCCATCGTCGACGTTTTCTAAAAATCTAAACAAATATAACAGTCATTTTATGTAACGAAAAGGACTCGTGTCAATTAGTTTTTCGAGTTTGAATTGGCAGAGTCGTTTCTTTAGAATTAGCAGATTTTTTTAACGGAGATACTCGGTGGTCGAGCCCAATAAGTTAATTCTATAAAAAATAGTTATAAATTTTTCAATCAAATTCGAATGAATTAATATTCCGTAGGGTAATTAACATCCCGTAGGGTAAGTTATAATGATCGCAAAAAATCGAAAATGAAATTTTTTATATATCTTTGCGTTTCAAGGTTTCTGAACATTTTGGCATACCTTAGAAAAAATGGATGTATGTATGTGTGTGTGTGTGTGGATACAAACTTTCGTCGACGATTTCGCCAACACGGATCAACCGATTTGAATAATTCAAAAAACATTCGATTTCTACTGATAAGAAAACGTGCTGATTAGTTTTTGGCATAGGCAGGTCTTGCTGTTTCGGAGATACGTGGCAAAAAGCGTCAAATATGGTATTCCAGTTTTTGAGATAACAGAGCGCCCGATTTAAATAATTCAAAAAACATTTTACTTGTATTGACGAAAGGAGCAACTGGTAAAATTTTTGTAAAGTCCTTGGAGATCCAACAAAAAAGTAGAAAGTAATGCCATTTGGAAGTCAAAAATAAACATTAGACATATGTATATCGTATTATCAGAGATTTTATAACGATTATAATAATGAGCACAAATTATGTGTACATGGGTTATTTTGTACCAATGTTTACACGTTAGATGACTACGAGACGCTTACGCGCTTTGATATTTCGACTCCAAATCAGCTATGCAACGCGATTGCTTAAAAAAATGTTCAAATTTTTTTAAAAAAATCAAGATACAAAAAAATCAAGATATAAAAAAAATCACGTTTTTCAAAAAAGTCAATTTCTATCAAAAATTTCAAAATTTCTCAATAATCTAAATTTTTCAAAGTTTTTTTTAATAATTTAGTTTTCGGTAAGGAAAGTTCAAGCAATTTGCCTTAAGGCCCTCCACCACTAGTCAATTTCTTGTTTTGTATTTGCTGTTTTTAACAGATAATTATACAAGTGTACCAACAGAGAAGCGACACAATTACTTTCTGTCATTGTTGAAGAACGTGCTCAGGTGCTCAGTCAGTGCTCGTGTTGTTTTGAGGTTATGTTAAAGTATTTCAAATGAACAGTTAGTTGTGCAGTCAGTGCAAATTATTAGTTTTACGAAATTAGTTCGGTGTTGGAATCAATTGTATGAATCATTCATCAATATCGAATACTGTACTAACATTTCTAATAGCAATGATCAAGTGTAGTGATTCAGAACTTGTGCTTCCACAAATAAACAACTCCACATAGTACTTTCAAGGAAGTATAGCATCAAAATTAAATGGACAATAAGAATGGACAACATATGGGATCTTGTAATTTTTATACCACTATGAGACTTCATTAGAATAAGAAATTAAAATTTAATAAAACCATTATAGTTCAGAAATGCAACGATAGAAAATATTGTATTATCGTGTAAAAGACATCTAGTCAGAAAAATTAATATATTATATTTATAAAATGTTACAAAAATGGATGTTTGGTAAGTTTACACACTTTCTTCTTATATTATACATGTTTATATATTTTTTCAAATTTAAGAGATATAATATTGAATTTTTCTAATATTTTTCTAACACTCTTCTATATGTATTTTGTGTTGATATATATATATATATATATATATATATATATATATATTTAATATTGAACGTTTTTGTCACAATTAAACAAACAATTCTTACATTAATTTGTAATTACTTTTGAAAACACAAAATCGCATATAATATTTAGATACATGTAGGCGGAATAGAAAGATTAATTAATTTCTAAACGATGATTTACATGACTATTTGGAAGATGTTTGCAGCTCTGTGACCTAGATGAGAACCAATTTTCAAAGATGTTTTTGACCTTGTGGCTGCAACTACATTGAACTTATTTCATATTTTATTATTTTCAATCCGACTAAAAATGCATAGTACAGCATAATAGGGCTTTACCGAGAAGGCTTGTTCAAGTATTAAAGCGCTGATTGAGCTATACTTGCAAGTGTGAGTAACTTCCTCGACTGACTGTGAAGATAAACTTGATCTATTTTCTATCACGTTCATTTTTGATGACACAACTCACGAGAACTTTTAATTTTGTATATTATAAATTGTGTGGTGCATAACACACAGACACACACACGCACAAATGTATATATATATATATATATATATATATATATATATAACCAAGTTTTCTTAGGGATTTAAATTATGGCATATAAATTTTTATTTCACATATATATTGATGAATTTTAATTCGCAATTTTCAATTAGGATAGAGGAATAATGTGGAGAATGTCTTTGGTGTTAATAGAAAGGGGATTTAAAATATTTGCAAAGTCAATAAATCAGTGGAAAAGGTTTGCCCGATAACGTTAGTCAGTTGCTATTTATATAGATTTTTAAACAAAGATAATTTTGATATACGCATTTACTTCAATCTAAAATAAGTCGAACAGTAATTTTAAAATAAAATACATAAAATATTAGAATGTTTATGCTTGCTTCTGTATAAATAGTAGAACGAATACAATTTCATTTACATGTCTAAATATATACATATTTATAATAAATTAAAACACAAAATTAGTTATATAAATACATATATATTCTACATTTTTATATAAGAACTTTATAAAAAATTGCTTTTTGTCTGTATACCATAAACAATATAATTTTTACTTTCGTTATATAATAAATTCTTAGGATTTTATATAGATATTGTAACATGTAGATTATAAATATTGTTTTACAGTAATTATTAAACTATGTATTCTCATTCAATTATAACAAATGCGGTAGTGAATCAACTGACATAACAGTGCTGGCATTTTAACAGTTCTGTCTTTATTAGACTATTGACTTACCATATTGAACTTAATGAAACATGTTATATTGGATGTTTTTTTACTTGATAAGTAACAATATAATTTTTATTTATGAGTTAATGCTACATTGATTTTGCATTTTATTCAATATATATTCTCTTCGGCTATTACATTATATACAAGTAAAATTGCAAAATAAACATCGATCTGAATATCATTATAATTGGGACATATTTTCATATTCATACCTCTTAATTATTATTTGATACGTACAACCTGGGTATGTGTATATTTAACATGCATTTATAACAATCAGTTTTTATATATCAGTATTAAAATTTATGTTAAAATATCTTAGTTATATAAGAGTATTGTTATAAAATAGAATTGTATAAATATTTTTACATTTGACGTAATTTTTAATTAATTGAGGGCTAATTCTCAACCCAAAACTAGATATCTCGTTTAGATATGATTGTCATGTGGCTTACGATGAATTTTTGCCTTGGGCTAATGTAATGTATTGGCGAACTAACCGTGATATTTCGTGCGCTTGCTCCGTCTGCAATCTGGTCACGTGCTGCTGAAGCAAGCTGCCGCATTTCATGTCCAGGAATAATGCACCGTCTTCTGATCGTACCTGAGCAATTCGTATAAAAAATAATTAAATGAATTCATTCGAGTCACATGTAATACATAGAAAAAATAATTTGGTATATCAAGGATTCACATAATAATTCTAAATAATTTGGCAGGGTTAGGAAATTTAAGCTTAATTTTATGAGATATTAATAAATTTCTGCAATAGTGGCGAAAAAAATTTTTTTTCCAAGTATTAATTTTGCAAGTTAGTTTATTTATAAATTTCCATAAACTAAATATAAATCCATACTTCATGACCGTGATTGACGAATATACTCGTCATGGAGAAGTGGAAGAATTTTTTGCATTGATGAGTGAATTTCAACATTACTATTGCTATTCCTGATAAAAAAAACTATCAGTTATTTTGTCGAAATACGAGAAAAACACTAAAGACAAGTAATATTGAACAAGGATAAATAAAGACAAGTAATATCAATTGTTGAGTATGGTGCAATGATTTAGACACAATTGAGTATAATATATGGACAGTTAAACAAATTATCAGTTACATTCATACACTCACTTTTCTGGTAGAAATGACATCAGAGAAAGGCCAATGTTGTAACGTTTCGTGAGTGTTTGGCTCTAAGAAAAGTACTCCTCTTCGATTCAAAGCTAATATCAACTCTCGCCATGGTTCTTGCATATCATCTCCTGGCGTTGGTAGACCATCAGGCGACCAAGCTCGTTTAACAGCGAAGAAACTGCTGCCGAATAGGGGCCACGTTGATAAAACATGCAGAACTTGTGCTTTAACCTGGTACGGGGCTAAAGGTGCAGCTGCGGTCCAAGCGGCTTGGACGAGAGACACCCATTGCGGCGGACGAAGTTCTCGAAGACCAAGCGCAGATTTCGGAAGAAGGAATTTGATCTGAGAAAAAAATAAAATAAAATAATGCTGCATGATGAGTTATCAAATAATAAACGATTGTCGAGACATATAATAGAAGTTCTATAAAGATGCAAGTAACTGACATAAAATGCATAAAAAAAATATAAAATGCATTTTTTTTTAATTTTGCATCAAAACTGAATCTTCTGAAACCAGGTAAATGTAGGTAAATTCTCATGGAAGGATCTCACTCATGTTTTTTTATAGGTAGGTGTTACTTCGGAAATACATATTTAAACTATAACAAGATTAATCATTTAAAATAACTTGTAACATCATTATTACAACTCAGTCCTTCTTGCACATTGGACATAATTTTGCGTTTTACATAACAAATAAAAGTATCACTTTCAAGATATTTACTGTTTATGTGTAACTTGACAAGTTAGCATTGCTTTAATTGTTATTACCTCTTTCATTGTTGGCACATGATGTAAATCAGCTGCTCTGTGAAGAAGTGCTGCAACACGAGCAATGTCTCTCACGATTTCGGGTGCAGGGGCACCGCCAGCTGGCAATTCCAAGAGCAAACCTTCTAAATAATCAGGCGCAACCTGATTGAACAATACTTCTGTGTATAAAGCACCAGGATCAGCGCGCAGCGGATGGTGCCATACAGATCTGATAGAAATACATTAATCACCTCTATTGCTTATATTTAATATTCTCAAATTTTAAATGTTTGTTACTTTAGGAAAAGCGAATTCTTACGTTACAGCAATGAAGATGCTGAACATATTTTTATACAAAAACTAATATTTTAGCTAGCTAAATATTGCTAGCGCATTTTCGATCAACTTACCTGCAGAAGATCAAATAAAAAGGCTGTCCACTCTTCAAAAGTTCAGTGGTCACGTCTAGAATATACTCATCCGCTGCTAGAGGCATCGTGAATGCATCTCCTTGAACTATGCAATATAAGGAAAATTCACTCTGTTCAGAAGCTCCTTCTACTCCTAGCAAAGAGCATAATTCTGATACAACGTCTGCAACTACAGTAGAACAGCGGGTGTTGACTACCCTCTCAGCACCTCCGGGTAATCTATAAATTTGACGTCTTGCAGAGCGACCGGCCGATACTGCTGTTACCTGGTTAAATGAATTTCAATTAAACTCTATAAAGCAAATTCTTTACAAATATTGATGTCAATTCATTCTATCATTTAGTTCTCACTCTAATTACCTCTTCAACGCTGGGTACATTTTTCCTACCGCCGCACCTGGCTGTCTTGCGCAGATTTGCCAAACAAACTGCTGCAGTACCGTGACAAGGTTTTCTGCGATCTCCTGCAGCAGTTCCAAGATGTTCTAATAAAAATGAGCGCAGCGCATCTGAACAACCGAAGTAAGCTGTGAGAACACTGAGCAATCGCCATGCACGTTGACCGCTGTCTGCAGCAGGGCTTCTGTTGGCGGTAGTCTGCTTCATAAGTTGACAGTATACTTCGTCTCGCAAGCCGGCATGTTTGTGACAGTGCTACAATAAATGGTAATTTAGAAATTTTTTGGTCGTGGACAATCAGTATAATTATAATTTGTATGAACGTATTCAGCGCTGGAACACAAAATTAATAAAGGAATAGGTAGATATTTTCCAAGAGTCAACAAAATGTACTAAATATTTATTCATGTATGCGGGCAAACACCAACGCCTTTCATATAAGTTTTTAAAAATAATAAAATGTGAAAGCACATTTTTTTATCCTGATGCTGAGCCAAACTTACCATGAGTATGGTGTATACGCATTTGACTTCTGTGACATCGGGATCAGGCGGTAGATCACCGCAGTATCGCAATATACAATCGAAACATTCCATAGCCAATGCTGCCAAATCAGGGGGCAATCTCAGTAAAGGTCCATCTAATGGTCTTCCTTGCCAACGTACTAACTCACTCTGTTGCCACCATCCTTGTTGAGCCTGCGCATCACCTTTTTCTTGCGGTGATCTGTAAAAAAATGCAATTAGTTTGTTTAATTATTAAAGATAGATTATTAGAAAGATTATGGAGATTGGGCGGTCCGAATAAAACTTTAACATTATGTCAACATATTTCAATTGAATTTTAGTGACCTCTCTCTAGTGATATATACCCGACAACGCGAACTACTGTATCAATAATGCTATTTATTAATTTACAAAATTATTGTTACACATGTGTTACACTTAGTTTCACAGGAAAATAAATAAATTAAGTTAGACTTTAAATAATATACATTCAAGTTATTTACACGCATCGAATGTTGCACCGTTATAAAAATTACTATTACGTTATTAATATGCATCAAATAGCTATAGAAAATACTGAATTGTCCAATTACTGAAACTAAAAAGTTTAACGCTAAAACAACAGATTTCAATAGTTTTTTTTAATTACATCCACATTAATTTGAAAACACATCTAGTAAATATGATATATTGGTTCATGTGCCATGGTTCGAACTATTGAGGCATCACGCGAAATGTGTAGATGTACAAGTATTATAAATGAATTAAGTATGTTCTTGCTTCAGTGAGTGCTTATTACTGTTTACGATAATGCTAGTGTTGCGTCGCATCGTGCCTTAAGTTAAATTTCTGGAACTTTCCGTATCGCAATTTAAAATTTTAATTCTGAAATAAAATCTGTGAAAATAAAATTGATCTTAATCTCTGAAATAAAAATAGATTTTTGAGATATCATTTTCCAAATATTGTCAAGGGAGCCAACATCAAACAAAACTTATCGTAAAAAAAAATAAAACAAAAGATAAATAGCTGACAAAAAATAATTGATAATAATAAATAATAATTTCACGCGTAGACAGTGTAAAATGGCTCCCTTAACAGTTCTAATGAACTATTGCTCCGCGAAAAAAACGGCGAATCTCAAATTGAAATTAATTTACGATGGAACGGGCACCAGAAACCCCATATTTATGTATGAGATACGCCTAACTGTGAACGGAACCGAATTATCAGCGGTAGGATCAGGGAAAACTAAAGAACAATCTAAGCAAGACTCGGCAAGGTTGGCGCTTCAAAAGCTGATGAACTTAGTTCAGGACCAAGTTTTGGGGGTTAAAGAGACCGTTGAAGGGCAGCCATCCCTAACCATTCCTGTAGCGGTAAGAAAGCTTAGCCAGTATTGTGATAAGAAAGGTTTACCGATACCCGTGTATATAGTAGAACAGCCAGTGAACTATTTGACTAACCTGTTTTCACGAAGCTATAAATTTTCGAAAATTTATTATCGGTACGTTAAGAAAGTACCATTCTGGCTGTCATTTCGCGGTTGTGTCATCATCCCTTCAATTTTTGAAAGTGTCAAAAAATTTTTTTTTTAATTTGCTCTCACAAGGCTCAAATTTTGAGGGTGTATTCTTTTAACTGTTCAGAAAGTATATGTTAACAGCCAGCGCATTCTGACGGTTGCAAGGGTCTGCCAGAAGAGTACATAATAGTCACGACGCACAAGGGTATGGGCGCATTACCATACATAATCGGCTACATCCTTGTATTTAAATAATTTATACGACATTTTGGAGGTCTTTTTGAAAACATCCAATATACCAAACTTTAACTTTTTATCTCACCTTATGGCGAGATATCATTGAAAATATGCCAAAGTGGCCACTTTTTCAAACTCAATTTTTGGCCTAACCATAAAAGATATCGAAAAAGAAATTGCGTGATTCTACTCACATTGGCTTAGACCACATATGTATATTAAAATATGAATAATCGATTATTTATTTATATGCTGAATAATGATCATTTATTATTAGCTAAAAAGGATAAAATAATTTTTCAATTAATGTTTTCGGATAGTGCGTTTTGTTTAATTACTTTCTTATTAGCGTTATTCGAAAGAAAGCCTTGTGGGAGCAAGTTAAAAAAATTTTTTTTTGACACTTTCAAAAATTGAAGGGATGATAACACAACCGCGGAATGACAGCCAGAATGGTACTTTCTCAATATACCGATAATAAATTATCATTAAAAAAATTTCTAGCTTCGTGAAAACAGGTTAGTCAAACAGTTCACTGGCGCTTATGCTATCTATATATCATCTGAAGATATATTTAATATTTTACAAACATTCGTCTTGATGACCATATTAATGCACCAATCGTAGTAGATAGATTGGCGAAATTTGTTTCTCTTTTTGACCATTTTGTATGATGAATCATTAGGAGCAGGAGAAAAAATAAAGACGCATTTGGACTACGAGTTATCAGAAGAGTTAATGGAAAGCAACTTCATTCTCTATACCTGGCTAATATGTGTATTTGACACCGTAATTAGTGTTCTCGATTACTCGTGGTCACAGTTGTACGAATGTGAATAAATATATCACAGCTTTTCTGGAGAATTAATAGATTGTGAATACATATATTTCTAAATTATTGTTATTTTATAAATAAATTATATAAATAAAAAATATTGTATTTTCCTTAAGTGTGTATGCAAATATAATATCTAAATTTAATTTACACACAGATAAGATAAAATTTAACAAAAAAAATATTTATATTAATAATTAAATAACAAATTTTGCTTATATTTCTATGGGCTCCGTACTAATGTTTAACATTTAGACTACAACGTGGCGCTCACGCGCTTCGATTGCTTTGAAGAAAGTTCTAAATTTCCAAATATTTCAAAGTACAAAAAAAAACTTCAAAACGGTTAATTTGAAAAAAAAATCTCAAAAATCTATTTTTTTTAAGTTCAAATAAAATAATTGCATCCTTTTCAAAAATTTTAATTTTTAGTACTTACTGGAAGTTCCAGCAATTTGCTTTAAGGCACGATGCCATGCACCACTAGTTATTACTTTTTTATTGGATCTCCGGAACCCCCAGACCTGCCTTCCCAAAAATTTAATCATTTCTTCATTTTGTTAATACAAATAAAATGTTTTTTCTAATAAATCGGACGCGCTCCGTTATCAAAAAAACTTAATTACCATTTTTGGCATTTGGAATTTCTTGCTACATATCTTCGAAACGCCTGGACCTACTTCTGTCAAAGACTAATTAGCACGTCTCCCCATCAATACGAATCTAATGGTTTTTTTTAATTAATCAAATCGGTTGATGCGTGTTTCCGAAATCATCGACGAACATTTGTATCCGCACACAGCACATACGTTCATTTTTCCTAAAGTACCAAATGCCAAAGTGTGCCTTTGAAACGTAATTTAAACTTACAAGTCCATATTTATTAGAAGATGTACACTTAAAATAATGTAAATCGTGAATTTATTTTACAGAATCCCAAGTAAATGACTAATTCGTATCATATTATTTTTAATATCATTATCATACGATACTATACTATATATTAATGCATATGTTTACTACAAAATCTTTTGAAAACGGCATTATTTTATTTAAAAATTAGTGTTTTCAAATCGTAAGATTCTAATGAACACATTGCAATTACAATAATTATCATTTAATATAATATGATTTTCGTTTGATTATCGTGTTAATTGATGGTCTATTAAATGGCCGAATTATGCAAGAGAATACTCTTCTTACATTTTGGGAAATAGTAATCAAATCTGATTCACTAGATTGATCAATACAAAGTTGTTTGTAGTGTATACAATAGACGGTATTGTTTTCAGTAAGATAATATCGTATTTATTCTCACGACGTTCTCACCTATATATTCTGTTGTTGCGTCTTATTAAGATGTTACACAAAATTAAAATTACGGAAGAAAATTGTAATAACAACTGTGTGATTTTCCTTTCAGAGCAGTTATGTAAACAAGATAAATCATGTCCCATTATTATAAATTGTATGTTTATAGAATTGATAACCCTTTGGAATAAAAGCCTTTAATTTTATTTTCACATTTTAATGGGCTTCTTCTTTACCTAATTTCAATCCTAATTATATTTTTTTTTATTTCCTGAGTGAAATTAAATGAAATAGTTCACATTTTCATTAGCTTCCATTAAACTCTAGAATATTTTCTAGACTCTATCAGGTTGTACAAAATATTTTGTTCTTTTTAGTACTGTTCAATTTGTTAAAACTATTTAAACAAAAAAATAGTAATTTAGTTAGTCATAATTGCATTTAGTGTTGTAACTATTTGTTTGATAGTATATATATCTTCTTATTTTTTTATCGAGGTGGTAAAGTTCTTGTTTTATTTTACTCAGGTAACTTTCTGAATTGTCTTAAATTTTTAATTATATTACAATAATGAAGAATATAGAGAAAAAAAATCTTTTAGTTTAGTTTTAAGAGAGTACGATACCTTCGAAAACCTCGCAAGTTAATCGGATTTTTTAATTCAAATATTATGACGATAACATTTATAATATAACATCAGCAAGTTATAGAAGTTATAGGATATATTTACAAAATCATATATTTGTGAACTATATGAATATTATATTCTAATATTTTTTTCAAGCCGTAGTGATATCAGATTTTCACTTTAGATTATAGATCTCAAATATGATATCAAGTGAAAACAGCCCTTTAGATCTGCTACAATCTCATCAGAATTGTAAACCATTAGGTTGTCATCTAGAAACCAAAAAAAAACTACCCTAATTTTCCATAGAGGCGAAAACTTTAGAAATACTGAAGTTATCAACAGCTATAAATTATTAAATAAATCAACTTGCCAAAAAAGACAATGTTGCCAAAAATGACAATGACAAAATGACAATGTGTCCGACTTATCAGTATGAGTTAAAATTTTGAGAATTCTAGCTTTTAATTATAATTTTCAGACCTTTTCAGAAGTGTAATTTTTACATTGTCAATACATTTTTAACTTTCATAGGGCAAGTTATAGTAGTAATCGCAAAAAAATCGAAAATGAAAATTGTTATACATCTTTACGCTTCAAAAGTTTCTGAACATTTTGGCATACCTTATTGTTAGAAAAGATGAAAGTATGCGGAAAATGGACGGTCCAGCCGTTTAGAAGATA